GCAGTCATGGATCATTTTTTATATATTATCTTGTCCCTAAGCATTGCGGGATTCAGTTTATATCCTGTTCCATTCAACTGGTTATTCAGATAATATCGTGTGGTAGTGAGATGTATAACCAATTGGTTGTTCGGCCCACTTGTCAATTGGTGCTTTTGGGTTGGCTAAAGATGCGTATGTTTATCTAATTGGCCTTTGCCCCATTTTCATTTTCAATTTCTAGTCCTAGTTCAGGTTCATGCTGATCCACAGATGTCTTTCTGTTCGGATCTATCACGTTAGGGTTGAATAGCTACTCTAAAGGCGATCAGGCTTAATCCATGATCCTTACGTACCCTTTTCTCCATGTGGTGGTGCTCATAATCTGCTCAACTTTTACTTACGAAGTCTGGGTAGGAAGGTCCAGAGCTAGTTTACGTTTGAAATTCCGAGTGATGGATGTTGCTTCGGTATTGCTGGCGGCATGGTGCTGTGCGTATCTCTGCATATGTATTCTTACTAAGTAATCACCTTTGAATGTCGTTAATCTAGTCTAAATGAGTTTGCATGGATTAAATTGAGCTGTACATGTGTTAAAAATTTCCTCAAACTATGTCAGTGAAAGAGTTGCCTTGATGCTTCTTCTCCCAGCTTTACATGATGTGCCACAAAATAGTTATCTCTTGTATGATGTAAAACTATCTCTAATCTTTGTTGAAATTTAATAGCCAAATTGAATATGAGCTGCTTGGTTTTTGGATGGCATGACATGATGATCACCTCCGAGAAGATTTCCGGAATTATCTTTGAAGAACGAAAACTTTGCATTGTTTGGTAAGAGATTCAGCTAGAGGCACTATCACTATGTGAACTGTTTTGATTTTCTTTGAATCTTTGATATTGTTGAGAAGTCGGTGAAAAAATTATTGTTACTGTAGATCCTGAATCTAGTCGTAAGTTCTAGTTATTCCTTTCCAAACAAGGTCCAAGTCCTGCACCTGCATTTTGTCCCCAAGCTCGCAAAAATTTGTTGCTTTCTCAATCGTACAAACATTTTTTGGTTGAGTGCTTTCTGGAAGCGGAGAATTGTCTCTGCTTAGACTATTCATGCGATGGAATTTTCCCCAAGCTGCAACTTTGTAGGATGATTGTTTTCTATGCTTATTCCTCTTTGGAAGTTGGGCTCTAGTCTCTACCTTATACTTCTGTTGGACGGGTAGTGCCTGGTGTCCATGAGGTTATTGCACTATACCGGATTCCTGGCCCCAACCGACAGTCTGTGTTGACAATTCTCTGTATTAAACTCTATCTAGAAGACAACTTCGCTTATCTTCTGTCTCATTAGTTAGCTTGCCTGGGATATGTTCCAATGTGTCATAGAACTGGAGTTGGATTTAATCTTTCTTGGCACATACGACAACTCTTCTTTAGTTTTTTGCAGGGTATGTTGATTGGTAGTAAAGCGAATGACCATGCAAAATACCTCGAGTCCACTCAAAGTGTCCAGCAATGACCATGCAAAATACCCTCTCACGTCAGTTCCTTTCTTGCAACCCGATATAGTCCGATTGGTCGTGATTCGAGGTTCATCGTAAGTTCAATAAAGCAAATTCTTTTTTATTTTGTGAAGGTAGTAAAGCGAATTCATGTTGTTATGATCCAATCACACTTAAATGTGCGTCGGTTTATCGAACTTACAATGTTTCTTTAATTGTCCATTTAAGACAAACAATTTTTTTCGGGGGGGCTAATCCATTTTAACTTTACTTGTATAATTCGTATTAGCCTGACATGATATAATTCATTATCGTAATGACTATAACGAGTAAACACTGTAATCTGGGATGGACTAGTAACCTCATTGTTTAAGGCGATGAGGCTTAATCCATGATCCTTATGTACCCTTTTCGCCACTTGGTGGTGCTCATAATCTGCTCAACCTTTTACTTATGAAAGTTTAGATAGGAAGGTCCAGAGTCTGGCTCCACGTCCAACTGGGTCTGGTAATCCCGAGCTAGTTTTCATTTGAAATACCGAGTGATGGACGTTACCTTTATAATGTCGTTAACCTAGTATAAATGTGCTTACATGGATTAAATTGAGCTCTACATGTGTTAAAACTTTTCTCAAACTATAATACAGCGAAAGAGTTGCATTGATGCTTCTTCTTGTTTGTTTGAAAACCCCAACTCCACTTGATGTGCCACAGAATAGTTGTCTCTTGTATGATGTAGAACTATCTCTAGTCTTCGTTGATATTTAACAGCTGAAATGAATATGAGCTGCTTGGTTTTTGGATGGTATGACATGATGATCATCTTCGAGAAGAATTCTGTTTAATTTTCTTCAAATCCTTGGTACCATTGAAAAGTCAGTGAAAAGATTACTTTTACAGTAGATCCTGAATCTATTCAATAAGTTTTAGTTATTCCTTTTCTAGACAGGGTCCAAGTCCTGCACCTGCCTTTTGTCCCCAAGCTTTTACCACGAAAATTTGTTGCTTTCTCAATCTTGCAAACATTTTCTCACTGAGTGCTTTCTGGCTCCATCAATATCTCACAAAAGGCTTTTATAGTGGCTTTGAACATGTGCATCCCATGCGATTCAGCCATGGCATTCGGTGCTTTCCTTTGGTCGAGTTGGTTTAGTGCTTTCCTGCCAACCTTGCAAGGTAAGTGTCAGTGAGCACTCAGAAGGAAAATAGCTTAGCCTGTCACCCTTCTGCCTTGCGTACTATTTGTAACTTACTCTTTTCGCCCATCTACAATAGCATCGAAGGAGAGGTGTTACACTTGGTTCTTCTTCAGATTCTTGATGTGTTTGTTGGCAGTGTACATACTCTGGAAACTGTGATTGGAAAGGGTATTTCTTACTTGCTTCGGCAAGATGGAGTTCTTGGCCTTCTATGCACGTCTTGCATTGTTAGTTATTGAGCTTGATTCCTTGAATTCTATTTCCCAAGAGGATCTTTTGTTGATCTGCTGAGAAGTCATGTTGTCTGAAAGGTCTCCTTCTTTGGTGGATGCCATATATCATGGGTTTTTTGGTTCTGCCATTCTACAAGGTTTGCCTTCAAACAAGCCAGATTTTTATTGCTTGTATACTGTTCTATCTAGGAGGCAGCTTTACTTATCTTCTGTCTCGTTGGTTAGCTTGCCTTTGATAGGTTCCAATGTGTCCTAGAAGTGGAGTTGGATTTAATCTTTTCTTGGATAGGTTCCAATGTGTCCTAGAAGTGGAGTTGGATTTAATCTTTCTTGGCACAGACGGCAGCTCTTCTCCGGTTTTGTGCAGCGCATTGTGATGGTGCTCTGAAAGAGTTGATGGGTTGTTCTCCACTTTCCAGTTAGGTCTAGCTTTGGATTGACATCTCCTTTTCAAGTTCCAAGCGCAAGTGTACAACCAATCTACAATTAAATGGAGTGCAAGAAGGAAATCATTAGCCTTTACATCCACCTATTTTTAATCTTAGTTCGAGTATGTATGCTTTATCCTCCTGTAAGTTCTGAAACATAGATGCCCTTTCGAATTTACGTTGGTGTTATGGCGCTGCTGACACCCTATTGACATGTTTCTAATATAGGACTAATGCTTTCAGTGTCTGATACTAATTCGAATTATCTGCATTGATCTTGATAACAACAGGAGCAGTAATTTTTGGGTTGCTACATGCAAAGGGAGCTGGAGATTGGTTTGTGAATATTTGTCATGGTATTATGAACGCAAGAGACATATGTTGGTATGGCTAGATCCATTATGTCACAGTAGCAGGTTCTGATCCCGCTTAGAAATTGGCCCTTTCTGGACTTGTCGGTTTGCTTCCATTGAGAAGCATTCTGGAACTCAAGCTATGTTTTTATCTTAGTTCCCAGATTATTGGATAAGGGGTAGTTTTGAAAGCATCCCGCATGGTCATGAAATAAGCCCTGCATGTGATCTTTTTTGCTGAATTATTATGCTTTCCCTCGAGCCATCTGAGTGCTTGAAGTCTTTAAAATCAAGGTACGTGATAAAGAATGAATCTCGCCAATTGGTATAAGCTTTTGCAGTGTTGTTTTGCGGTTGGAGCAAGTAGAGACATTTAACTGGTGGAAAAGAAGCTGGGTTACACAGTGTGGAGCTTGAAGGCCCTGATGCTGCAAAAGACTGCATTTTGTTCAACCATATTGAGGTGCTGCAAGACAAGAAAACATTTAAGAGAGGCTGATGCTTGCTTGTTATCCCATTTTGGAGGTTTGATTCAAGGTTTTCTGGCTCATATGGAAGTTCCATTTGCTTGTTTCCTTTACCGATTTGGATGTTATTACTATTAGTCTTGTTGTTCCCGTTGTTTTGTTTTGAATGCAAATGGAGATATCCTAGCTCAGTCCAGCGCCGCTAGTTGGGACTCTCTTGAGCCGAAGTCCCCCTCTGATTTTCATTACAATACAGAAAATGTATTTTTAACTATTGTAACTTTACCACTGTATAAAATGCGGTAGTTAATAATGACGTATTAACCACTGTGCCTATTAGTATGCTTGTTGTATTCATCAAGGGTGTTAAACGGATCTTGTCTAGCCCCTAGCTCTCTTAGGCATCGCTTAAGCATGCCTAGCACTACATAACGAATGAAATGACTTTTTACAACACTTTCACACTTTAATTAAAATAATTAGTAACTTATTGATGTAAGAGATTTTGTTTGCCGACGATCCTAATCTTCTCCTTTTATATTGACTACTAGCTAGCTCCATCTAACTATGCCCAGGAAATACCTAGTTGTCTTCTAGACATAGTTTACTCGTTGACGTGTTCCAACATCTTACGCACTTTAAAATCTCCAAATGAGACATTTTGGTATTGGCGCCAAATCGTGTCTAAACATTTTAGGCCCTGTTGTGCAACTCTGATTCACAACAGAAAATAAAAACCCAACTAAACACAATTTTTTTTCTTGGTTTTCCAAATTTCATAAAAAAAAACAGAAACAAAAAACAAGCAACAATACTAAACGGGTCCTAAGAATAGATAGGCCCATATCAAAGGGAGGAGCTTCTCTCCACAACCTTGAAGCTTTCAATGTAGTTCTTGTACCAAGTTGCCGAGAGTCTTGGGATCCTTTTCAAGCTGGGGAACTCAACCTGGTACAATCCAAACCTTCTTGTGTACCCTGCTGTCCACTCGAAGTTGTCTAGCAGTGACCATGCAAAATACCCTCTCACGTCTGCTCCTTTCCTGCAACCCAACACAATCTGATTGGCCTTTGATCGGAGAGTCGTGGCGAATTCAATCAAGCAAATTCATAGTTGTTATGGTACAATTACAGTCAAACGTACACCCGTTTATCAAACTTATAGTGTTTCTTTAACCATCTCCTTAAGACTAACAATATTTTTGGTGGGCTAATCCATTTTGACTTTACTTGTATAACTCGTATCAACTCTACGTGTTATAACTTATTACTCGCAGTGACCAAACTTATGAGTAACCATTGTACAAACCATATTGTGACCCAACCAGGGACAGACTAGTAACCTCATTCCTTATGACCTATAATTGGTATGATCCAATCTACACCAACTTAATTGTCCCACTTATTAAATTTACAGTATCGATTGATCCTCCTGTCCTGTTAAAGAAGACTTGTAGTTCGACCGACCCAGAACTCCTATTAACCCAACTTGTAAGAAACCTTCAACTCGTATTAATCCACTTCACGAAGACCGAGCCTGTCTCGTTTGCCACCTCTAAAATTTACCTCAAAATCGAATTTCAAATATAACATCATATAATGGGGGAAAATGCTCTTGTCAAAATGATTCATATTTTTTGCTAACCCGACTGCAGTTTCTAGCGCATCCAAATAGCTGTTCATGTAATCCACCCTCTTGACATCGTTGAGCAAATCCTGAGTCTGCCCAAACCCTAGCTCCATGAGAAATTTGCAAAAATAAGAAAATTCTAAGTCAGTTTGTGGTGAAAATAAGGAATTTCGAAACTTGCATAAAGTGTTGTTTGGTGCTTACCATTTTCTGTAATGTACATGGGTACATTGTTGTACCTCTCTTTTATATATGTCACAATATTTTCCATCCCTTGAGGATAAACAAATATCCAATCCACTCCAGTCTGCAAAGAAAGACTTCAAACATCATAAGTAAAATTGAAAATGTATATATTAACAGTGTTTTGGAGTACATGTAGTATGTCGATTTATTTGTTTATAGTGTCTTAGAATTTTAAATAATTTGAGTTTCCTGTATACAAGACATGTGATCATCAATGACGAATTTTGTAAGGTGTATTATAAGTCAACCCGGTTGGTTAATAATAACATAATCCGATCGAATTTTGTTGAAAGGACTAAACACGAATAAACAAACATAGCGTCGAGGCGTATTTTTTAAAACAAAATTTTTATGTATAGTATCATACCGGTGTTCCAATGTAAGAACCATTCTTCTGCTCAAGCCTTAAAGCCAGTCCCTCTGTCTTTGAAGCTCCTGGACCTTGTTCACACGATGAAAACAAGCAGTCCTTTGCGTAGAAACTCGTGTACTGATTGATCCCAATGAAGTCCAGACCGATCCTCCTCAGAAGCCTCGATTCGTAGCTCGAGAATTCGGGCAGTTTCGACCCGAGAATCTGCCTCATTTCCTTAGGGTATCTTCCAAATATGGCAGGGTCAAGGAACCTGAAATCATGGTCACAGAGTTGTAAGGGTTCTAACTACATTCTACAACAAAATGTTCATACTTACTATAGTTGCCTACCAGTTCATAAAGAAAGCCAGGGCTCTTTCAACTGCCAACTGATCTTCTATGGAATCGCTGATGGGTTCGTACCACAGGGCATTCAGAACTAGCCCAATGCTGCCTCCTTGTTCTTTCTGCACATCGAATTGGTTCGGATTCGGTTGGATACCCACGACGAGTTATTTCGTGCCATCTTTCGAGGAGAATGGGCTGTACGTAGTTAGTTACCTGGTATTTGGTCCGGTAAAGGTTGACAGCGGCAGCATGCGACAGGATCATGTTATGTGCTGCGATGAAAGGCTCTGTCTCTGAATCTCCATGGCTGCAGTTCCCAAACGAACCAGAACATCGAGATGGCGGGGAGATTCCTGATCGATAACTCCGAATCGCTGCAACGTTGGGCTCATTGAATGTAACCCAGTGCTTCACTCTGTCCCCAAATGATCTGAAACACACTTGTGCATAATATCTGAAGTCTTCTCTGAAACATAGATTTCAAGTGTCAGTGTAATTTACCACCACTGGGGAAAGGAAAGGAAAGACAGAATGGCTAACTGTATTTGAGGGCTCAGCCAAGCTCTGTATCTGTCTTCAAGTTCCTGGGGTATGACATAGTGAACTAACGTGACAAATGGTTGGATACCTGAAAATTGAAAAGCAAAGCTGAATCTTTCAGGCTAGACTTTATTATGTAACTGGAATTTCATTGGAATGTATAAAATTACAAAAAAGTGTACCTCTCTGTAAAAGCCCATTGATTAAGTTGTTGTAATGGTCTATGCCAGCCTGATTCACCACTCCAAATCTCCCCTCTTGGAATCACCCAATTGATGAAAAATAGGGATGGTAATTCAATTTACCTTTTTTAGGGTAAAAATTGTAAATGATGTTAGATGGTCGATAATAACCGGGGGGAAAGAAAAACTCACTGGGTAGGATTCTCGCCCATGATATCGAGAAACGGTAACTATTGACACCGAGATAACTCATTAAGTCCAAGTCTTCCTGAATTTTTGTCCATGTCAAAACAAATTACACACTTAGATCATTTAACCGTGAAAATTTATGAAGTAATAATCTTTTTTACCGTACCAAATATCTGTTGTAGTGGTCAACGGCGATGTCTCCGGTAGTTCCATCCGCTATGTTGCCTGCATCAATTATTGACACTCAATAATGGATTTTGTACTTGTCTTATTATTACAAATTTAGTGTGAATCCGTTATTATTCAAATCATTCCGACACTAGACTCGCTAAAACCCAATCGATCTTCCGTGTAATTACCAGCTCCAACCATTATTAGTTGCAATGAACAGGAAGAACAGTAAAGTACATGAATTGCTCAGTAAAATAAAAAACCCCCATGAAAGGATGGAACATGTTAATTTACCTGGAGTATGGGTGAAAACATCCCAGTTGTTGAGACCTTTACCATCCGACAAGTAAGCCCCTTCGAACTGATAAGAAGAAGAAGCAGTCCCGAACAGGAAGCTGCTAGGAAACGGGTTAGTGCTCTGCCTTTCCGCACTCCGCACGGAGACAGGATTACTTGACGCCACATGACCCAGCAGAAGCCACACCAGAAGGAGAAACCTCACTTCCATGGCTGCTGGGCGAAGAAACAGAGTTAAGAGAGACTTGAGTTACAATCAATGAGTGAAAGGAAGCCAATTCTTCTGAGTATATTATTGGACGGAAGGAGGAGCAGAGTTCTCGATCATTTTTATGCCAGAGGAAGTGGGGCATTTGTCAATCATTCTAAATCATTTCGTTTGTCACGAATTGGCCATAGCTGGCTCCATTTGTGGTCGCAATGAATCAAGGTTGTCAAACCGGTTTGTGCCAGTGTGCCGGTTTAGCAAGTAAAATGGTTCGACCGGTGGTACATACCGATTTGTGCCGGTTCATGCCGGTTAATATTACAAATAATTTACAAATACTCATATTTAAACATGACATTTAACGTCAATACCTAAATATTTGTACTTGAATCCAACAAATAACATCAACATTTAACTTTTTAACACATAAAATAAATAATAAATTACTTTTTATCAATTAAATTCACGAAGATAAAATCATTTTACTTGGAGATTCGTATATCGATCATGCCGGTCATACCGGTGGTGTCATACCGGTTTTATGACCGGTACAGGTTGAACCAGGTTCAACCTGTGGCACGCCGGCTGGCGTGACAACACTGCAATGAATTGAAGGCTATCTATCTAGCTAGCTAGCTAGCTAGCCAGCAAGCAGAGCTTTCGCTCAAGTCCATTTCCATTACTTTTTTTGTTTCTTGGAGCAAGATTCCCATTTCCAGAGAGATATTTTTATTCTAAGGGTAAATATTGTCATTGTCTCGATGTTATGAATATTAGGTAAATTCTTGAAATTTAACGAATTAAATTTACGTATGTATTGATGACTGTGAACGCTATTTTCTTTTTACTAGAAGTCGATCTCATAAAAGTACCGTTGTAATTCATAAGGTTGCGACCGACTCATGAGTCATAACATGATCTATATGTAAACTATACTTGGTATTGGGCCTAGTTCAGCTCTTTGTCCGGAGTCCTTCCTCTCTAACTCGGTTAGGGTTTGTAGAGATTGATATATATAAAGTACAAAATGACATCGATTTGATGAATTCGAATACCGTTGCGTGGATAACTTCGTCCATCAAATAAAATTTATATTGTTCACTTTTTGAATAATGAAATCACATAAATCTTGACCGTTTCGTTTCTATTTCGATTAATTTCTTGAGTTACGCTCTGATAATTAACGATTGGGTTGTTGTTGAAAAATATCATGAATGGGAATCCAAATTAGGCGGTCCCCCACCGGCGACCACGGAAAGTTCTTTTCTTTTCCCGGAAAGGGCAGCGATGGTGATGGTGGTAATGGGGTAAGGTATGCTTCTTGTTTGCACCTTCTCAATCGACCGAACGTCGGCGGTGGTCGGTGGACAGTAGTCACAGTAATTGTCCATCGGATTTGAGAGGTCGTTTGTTGGGACAATTTACATGTCAAGGAGCAAGAAAAGTATAGGACATTTACATATTGGAAAGTAGACGCTAGATTTGAAGATAGACTACATATTATTTGATCCATTATTTTTTGAATTTTTATTCGAGCAACTCTTAACTGCTGAGATCAATCGATTATCTTATATGGTGTAAGATGCCACAATCAAGACTTATTCTTTCAAATTTGTAGAAGTTTCCATATTAATTATTACTTGAAGCACTTAATATTTACATGTGGGTCCACTACAAACTTCAATCTCACGAGCTGATTTTCGTTTGACAAAGCGTGTACACACGAGAGAATGATATAAAATTCCTTTCTTAAACCATAACAACTCAAAAGCAATTGAGGTCAACTGGCTTTAGATAACTGTATTCCATGTTTGTGGACTTCAAGAAAGAAATTGAAGAGGAAATAGAAAATTGATTGGAAGTATGTTTTAGTATATATCATTACATAACCCCTCGCGAGTACTACTTATTTAGTCATGGCTAATTATAGAATGGATTTTACAATGCCCGTGCTTTACAAGTTGAATTTGTATCATGATGTTAGAATGTACAAATTCAATTTCTACTATAAATAAATTTGTACGAAATTTGTACCATCACCTTAAATTACATATTCATTTGGCTGTTTGTTTCATCATGCAATAAAAAAAAGACATATTCAATTTTTACTATAATATACTTTATATGAAAAGGTGCAAACACAAACTAAATTTATATCTTCATATTCAAAATACAAATTCAATATGCATCGTAATTTTTTAAAGCGAAATTACTAATCTTATGGTCATTAGTATTTAGTAACATAGCTCTAATTACAGAACCCTCATGCTTCACATCACAAAGATATCAAATCTTTTCCTGGCCTATCATTGATTAGGGCCGGGGGGCATGCATGCATGTCTCATCATTCGATATTGTCGTTTCTCCAGAGTTTTCATTTTCTTTTAGTGACGATTATGATTAGTTGATTATGGTTCTTTTTGGTTTTATTCCGTTCCAATCATCACCGACCATTGGCTTGGATTCCAATTATGCCGTGCTACTAATCACATTTATCGTGGTGCTATGAAATACTGGTATGATTAAGGGCCGACTTAAAGATTTTTTTTTCCCACAAAAACTCATTAGTGGGGGTGGAGAAACGAGAAATAAACGTTGTTTTTGGAACTTGAACTCGAAGGCTTCAGGCTAAAAAACAGTGATACGATCACTCGATCACAACCTCGTTCGCTAAATGATATGAGGGCATGTCGTTCGCCAGTATCCCGTCGTCGACTAGAGAGGGTCGGTCAAATTTTTTCTTTCTCTAGTGACATCATGATGAACATATGTTCATAAATTATGAGAAAACACCAAAAACAGTTAATTGAGGAAATTTTCCTTTTAGATTTGTTCAATATGTGATTTTCTTTTTCCCTTAAAAAAAGTGATTTTTTATCCCCTATAAATATCTACGTGGAATGGAAGCCCATCTCCTAGCCCATTATCAATGTGGTTGACAACGTCAAAAGTTGCAAATTCCGAAAGCCGACTTTGCATTTGGGCCTACGCCAGAGCCCATGGAGTAATTGCAAAAACTTCTGCCCTCCTGTCCATTGTCTTTACCTGGCCCAGAACGGCCAACATAAATCGTTTGCTTGTTGGATTTGAAAATGAAGGTTTTGAGTTTCAAAAACTTTTGGATTTATGATGGATTTGTTGCATCATGGATTTGGAAGAGTACATTGTTTGTTTAGTTGATTTTTTATCATGGATTTGTGATGGATTTGTCTCACATTTTTTCCTTCTATTGTCAAATCCCAAATGAAATGTGGGATTTACAAATCCGTGGGGTCCACAAATTTGGATCTAAAAAATGGGTCCAAATCCGTGGACTCCACGGATTTGTGTCCCTCAACAAACAAAGGATTTGTGTCAACTCCATGATGCTTGGGATTTGGGTTCCAAATCCATCACCCAAATCCCACAAGCAAACGACCCCTGAGTTTCCCCTTCTTCCGGGTAATAACAAGGAAGAAGAGGAGTTATACAAACAAAACTATCAAGGTTCTTACCAAATACATTGTTAACTCCGTTAATAAGTTCATAAATCTCGATGCTTTTATTTTTTCCTCTTAATATATCTCTTTAATTTTGTGGTACAAATTCAGTTTGTATTTAGACAATTCGTATACCATTTTTTTTTATGGTACAAAATGAATATGCATCTTATAGTACAGATTCAATTTGTACTTACATGTCTTCCTACAAATTTTTAATGATACAAACGGAACATGTACCTTCAACGTTGTTCTACGTATTCAACTTATACTTGAGCATGATCATTATGAAATTACTCAACCTTTTTATATGATACAATCATGAGCAACCAAACTCTAGCACCAAAAAGAAGGGAAAAGAATACAAAATTACACTAATGATAAATATTTACCAGCCTTGTTTTCTTCTTGATAGAGCAAATTACAACAAGTCTATTAGCTACCATAACCCCAACAGATTCTTGCCAAATAAATATCAACGAATTCCCACTTCAAGTCCTTGAATGACTAGAGCTACTCCCTTCTCCTCTCTTCTCCGATCAAAAAAAAACTCTGCCTCCACCAGAATCTACAGCTTTGCCTGCCCAAAAAAATTACCGCACAAGAAAACAAGTTACTAACTTTGAAAAACCGTAGAGCAACCCCAAAGGCCGTTCTTACTTCTTCAACGTCAATGTGCCTCTACGCAAGCAAGTGGGTATTGGAATATGCTCAGAAGAGTAAAAGACAAGAAGGAAGAAAAGGACATGAACTTGTGATATGGGTCGTTTTGGTCCCATAACGAGTTTGAGAAGTTGATATGAGATCACAAGGAAAAAAAAAAACGGTTGGAATTAGATTTACCTGCGAGTAGAGGAAAGTGCCGAAGATGGCGATGGCGGCTCCGAGTGCGTTGACGGGTTGGATCGGGGTGTGGAAGATGATGATCGACGAGACGATGACCGAGATCCTCTTCATCGTGTTCCCGACGCTGAACGTCAGTGGAGATATCTGATCGAGGGACATGTACGACACTTGATTGTACAAGTGGTAGAAGATGCTCTGCGCCGCTACCCACCTGCTCGAAAAATTTCCTCACGTTATTTGTCAATGTAAAAATCGCATGTTCAAAATGAAGCGTTTTCGTATACTATAACTACGCGAATCGGTAAGAATTTTGACCGATTCGAGTAGTAATGTACTATGCTAATGAGTTTAATTAGTCGAATTCGACTAATTACCAGACGAAATTAGGTCCAATTTGAGCAACCGCGTTTTGCCACCCGGCAGCCCACATCTGAGGTCCCTCCACGGCGATGGCAAAAGGAGTTAGGATCAAGAGTGACATGATGGACAAGCAAGCATAGTAATTCATCCCGCTAATGGATTTCCCCTTCATCCCTTTCTTCGAGAAAATGTTCCGAAAAACGAACGCCAAATTCGACACCATCGCCCCCATGAACCCTGTCGAAATTTCGAACCTTAGAGTCAACAATTTTGTGTCTCACACACACACTCTCTCTCTTACAAAGTTTTACCATCTTATTCACATCTCACGGTGTCTTACCAATCACGTTGAAATTGAGCTCGGTGATCGCGGCCAGAGCACAACCACCGATGATCGGCAGGAGAGAGAGGTACACCGGAAGAGGGAACGTCTCCCCCAACACCAACCCCGACACCAGGACGCTAAAAGCTGGCTCCCCGCTCTTGATGATGTGCGTGAACGACACCGCCACCTTCGACATGCTCACCGTGGCAGCCACATGCCCGATCGTATGCGCGATAGCAACCTTAAACCAACATTCAAAACCAATTCATAATCGTCAACCACAAATTCTTACGAAATTTCAACCAAGACAAAATAATCAAACACGCTTTTCTTTCACTTTCAACTCGTAACCTTGTTTGACGTCCAATTCTGACTATTACGAGTCCAGAATTGTGCGTCAAACAAAGTTCTCAATCTTTTGACTAAAATGTCTATTTAGCCCACCCACTCAAAATTTCACATTTAGACGGTTAAATCCCGTAACTTTTAACCACGATCAGTCAAATCCTTAAGCGGCTTACGGGCAAGAGAGACTTCAAGAACTCGGAGTCGACTCGGGGAGCATCGGCGACTCGGGTGGCCCACGAGACGAGCATCATCAGCGAGCCGCAGGCGAGGGAAAGGGTGGAGGTCAGCCACGGATAGGGAAACGCATTCAGCACCTTCTTGTTGTAGATGTTGAAGACGACGTTGAGCGCCCACCACGTGGCGAAGTAGATCCCGATCTTGATCTTCTGCGCCGCCTGCTCGCCGTCGACGACGACGGGGAGCTCGATGTTGATGTCGAGCGGCCGCGGCTGGCCGGCCTCGTAGGCGTTGCATACCGTGCTGGTCGGGGATTTTTTGTTCTCCGAGGGCGTGAGACGGCCGCGGAGGGAAGAAATGTGGAGAGGCTTGTGAGTGATTGGTAGTGGGGAGAAATTGGGGACGGTGGAGGAATTTCTTCTGATGCAGGGTGAGAATTCTGAGGAGGAAGAAGAGGCGGTGAAGATGGGATGGGTAGTGCGATTGAGGGAAGGTAACATCATTTTTGTGTTCATAGTTGGAATGGAAGGGGAAGTGAAGGGGAAAAGAGTGACTTTGGAGGTTTGATTTGAGGAAGAGAAGTAGGAGTTGGAGGAGCTTTGGATTCTGGAGAAGAAAGGATGGGGGAGTGAGGGAGGTTTATATAAGGAAGTTGGGTGGGTCATGGGTGGGGTAACGGTTCGGTTCGACTAGTGATTGAATGGAATGACTTGGATATCGGTCTGATTCACGATCGAGTAAAAAAGCATCGAAGTGATTGCTAGATCATATCGAGAATGAAGGAAATAGCAGAACTGTAATTAGGATCAACTTTCGATTCTATTTGACTTTTAGATTCTAACTCCGTCTGCTTATTTGCTCGTTTATGGAAATCAACATTGGTGGCTCATACATCACTCTAGACTCTAGTTCATCCAAGGATATTGATATCGTTCGACCTAATTTTGCCTGGCCAAATTGTCTTTGCACCTCCAGTCAAAATCTAAGTCGATATGAAAGTGGACCGGGGTTAGAGTGCGAGACCCTAAAACTCATAGAAGATGTTGAGAACAGATGTTGAAAAAATTATATGATCTAATTAAAACGGTATTAATCTCGATTCGAGATTTGTTTGATGAATCCAGCGGTTCAGCCCGATTTAAACCAAACCGGGTTTAGTACCAAGAAGAACCGGGTGAGGGGATGGAGCAAATATACGGTTTGGCTCGTGAATGCACTGAGCATGTAGTTTGGGATATTACGATTACACCCCCTTCTGTTCTGTCTCTTTCGAAGTCCTTACTGGCCCTTGCTGGGTAGCAAAGAGCAGCAGCCGTTGATTTTTCATTTATTTTTATAACAGACATGTTTTGTTTTGTTATTATTCCACTTTGGGAGAGTTGGAATTCCAATTTCCTGTCCCAACCACAAGTGACCCTTAGAGAGCAAGTGTCCCTTTGTGAGATGAGAATGACCCATGAGTTAATTGAGATTTTTAAGGTTTTTGCATGTTGTATAAAGGCACACTACCAACATGATCAATATGTGTATTCAGTTTCATTGAAGTGAAGAAGAGTGGTAACTAATCTTACATTAATCTAGTTTGTATATGAATCTAAGAAGTTCAAGCACAAATTTGAAGCTGATACGATCAGTATCGTCGTAACTTGTAAGAGATATGTGTCACGAACCACTTGTAGACTCAGCATCGACGACGAGGTGGTCCAATCAAGTAACCATAGCACGTCAAGGGTCAATCACTGAACGAGACTAACTAAAAAGGGTTTCTGACTCTTGTCACATTCATAACTAAGCATATTTAACATCCATTTGTTCTCGTTCAAGAAACCGAACAACCCTCTCAGATTAGCGAATGTACGAAACTATTCGCTTCATGAAACTTATCCTCAATATTACAGATATAATTAAGCCAGAGAGTTTCGTACATAGCACAATTCATATCCGAGTGAAAGAAAGATACCAAACATTCACCATGGACATGTTGAACTCACCGCCAATGAGATAACGAACAAAATTATAAACCGAAAAGTTAATTTGCAACCGAAATTAGTTTGTCAATGATTTTTTTCTTCTTCTTCCTTATAAAATAAGACATGATTGGAATTAAGAATCATCGATCCAGACAACGACCATTTCCATTTCTTATACAATGGGTCTAACGAGCCATCAAGAGCTTCATCATAGTACAAAATTTTGAACCGTCAGTCTCCCCATTCCTCTCCAAACTCTTTCACATGCACATCCATCGACAAGAATTGACGTCTAAAGACTGCCAATTTGCCCTGACAATTCATGTTCATGCTATAGACAAGAACACCAATCCTCCACAGCCGTTCAATATTGTTACCATTCTTTCCCCAAAACATGACAACCAGCCACCCATCATCAATTACTGAAACCAAGTTACAGAAATTCCATTGCATTGCACCAACTCCCCATAATAAACCCACTTTCAACGATCCTGCTCATATCGCTGCACATACTTTTTCCCGCACATGGCTCCTTGGAACAGAGTCGCAAACAAACAGAGACCCACCTCGCAATTTCTGAACCGCAAATTGGGTTCTCAAATCAATTCTCAACAACCGCAACAAGAGAAACTCATTACACAAATATCCCAATGAGTAAGACATACAAACCTGGGACCTTTGGCAGCTTTCCCAGGCAGGGAGAAAGAGATGGTCACCATATTTGGCTCCACGGAGAAAAATCAAATATTCGTCGTCAATTTTGAACGGTTGAAATGAGGTTTTGAAGGGAAAACCATAATGCAAGTAATAGGAAGAGGAAGCCAAAAGATCTAGGACCCTTAGTTTGTTTTGATGCGTAAGTTGCACTGAATTGCCAACTTATAACTACGCGGCGGATGTACGATCTTGTGTTCAAGTTGTAGTATGTTTGATTATGACCGTGTTCTTTGTTTGCATTAGGATTTAGGAGGCATCTTATTCTTATGGCTTCCTAGTTTGACTTCTCGACACAATTTGGTATGATCGGTGTAATTTTATATTATCACGTACGATTATGAATGTTGATAGCACCATAGAATACTCGGTAAACAAATGATCGTGATGTTCAAGATGACTTATTAGTCGTGCTAATTTAGGGTGGAATCGAGCCGAGTTTAACTGTTACCCGATCAGCTCAAGAATGCGTTGGTCGACTCGAATTATTAGCCGGCCCGGGGACAGAATTGTTCTCGGATCCCCGGGCCCATTTCCAGGGCTTCCCATCAGCACATATGACATATCAGGTCAGGTGAAAAAGATCGAAGAAGTTTTCACAGGAGAAAACATAATACTTTCTTTCCCCACCCTCTGTTTTGCACCCTATCAAAAGAAACTCTCCCAAACAAAATGGGCAGCAGCCAGCAGGTGCAACACCAGAACTATCTGGCAAATGTAACCTATATTACTGTTTAGGCAGTTTAGCTAGACATATATATGTTAGTACTATATAGTCTACATCCATAACTAATCTTTGAGACATCCAAATTCCAAAACCTTGCTCCCTCAACAAAATGGACATGGGACAGGGGAAAGCTTTGAATTGTACCCATGAAGCCTGCACATGAGGTGCCTTCTGCATATTTTCTGCAAAACGAAGTATAGAGAGAAGCACAATCAGACATCAACGACGTAAATCAACGATAAGTAGCAAAAGATACTAGAGCTAGGCACCTTTTTCAGGGCAGATTCAGAGGAGCCAAGCTCAAAGAGTAAGGAACCACTATAGAATCAAACATGCTCTCAGTACCAAACTCAGTCACATGAGCAACACGGTTCATCCCACCGTTCCTCGTGTCGTACGAGAAGACCGTGTTCGAAACCCTCAGCATCAAGATGCCATCTCTAAAAGCCAAAGGATCCACCCATCGCTCCTTGAGCTCCTGCATCCTCAGCACTTGTTGCAGATTGAGTGAGAACTCGGCATGCTCTTTCTCCATATCGCCCAACGACTTTGTGTACTCGAGCGACCACTTCCCCTCGTACAGATCTTCCAAACCCCAAACCAGAAGTCCTTCCATCGACACCATTACATATTGCAACTTCCCATCAGCTTCCCCAACACAGGCAACCACTGGTTCGGTATCGAATTCTGAAGCTGGGATCGGGGTAGAGACACTATAAGACATCTCCTTTTCCACATCAAACATCAGAATCTTATCACCATCAGTGAGCCAGTACACTACCCCTTTCACAGACACACATTTGGTATCGTACACCTCGTACCACCCGGGATCACACATTTCATCCGAAAGCCTCCAACTCTTCATCTCCGATGAGTACACATGAAACGAGTACCCATCACTGTCCTCCGTCTGCCACACCATGACCACCTTGAAGTTGGTGGAACTACCGGTGAGATCGGAACAAGGATCAAAAATCAGTCCCATGGCAACCGCAACCCCAAGCGGCCCTTTCCAGTCTACTTGCACCCACTCTTTGGTTAGAACGTTACCTACGTGGATAGTAGCACAAGTGTTTTTTGATAAAGGGATGGAAGCACCCTTGCTGAGAGGGGAGAAGCTCTTGCAGCAGATCAAGCCGTTGCAGGAAGATGCAATGGCGAAATTCTCTGGAATGGAGTCCAGAGGGGTCTTGAGAAGCTTTGGTGGTTCTTCGTTCGGAGTGGAGACGTAGCTCACCGCCGAGACCTTGTGCGGCACCCATCGAGATTTCTCCTGGAAGAGGAACCCCGATAGCGGCGGCGGATTCCCGTGGAGGGAATGGTGCACAGCGAATGATCGGTCAGAGATGAGGTCGCGCCAAGCTCTGGAGACGCATTTCATCTGAAGCAAATCCCTAGCTTGCAATTTCGTTAGCACCAAATCGGAGACGTCCCGGTTGATCCGCCTGAGCTTCTCCATTCCTGACGGCGGCAAAAATAGAGAGGCAGAAAAAAAAAAAGAGGAGAAGCATAAGAAACCACGGAGACGCAGAGAATGAAAAGGAGGAGGAAGAAGAAGAAGCTCACCACCTTTTAGTGCTGCCTCCGATGGTAATGCCTCCACCACCGTCTAGTCACCGTATTCCGCTGTCTGTGGAAGTTATGAACGAATTTCAGAGATATACGAAAACCTAATTTCTACCAGATACTTATAATGCGGAGGGAAAGTAGACTGCAAGTAGTTAGACAGCTTAAACAGCGAAAGAAGATGACTCCGATCTATTAAAAAGCAAGGGGGCTGGGGTTCCCATCCCCCGCGACCGGCGCATTGCCACCGATTCCGGCGGGCAGATATGGGTAGCTAGAAGCAGAAGAAGCCATGGGAATGCAGAGGGGAAAAAAAAACGAAAAGAGACGGGAAAGCGAGGAGGAGCGAGAAGAAGCTTACTGTTGAGTGCTACCACCTCCGCCGTTTGATCGCTGGAGTCCGTCGGGAAAGCTGCCAGTTGCAGCTACTGCTCTGTGCGTAGAGTGGTGAGAATGAGAAAGGTGCACTGTGGACTGGAAAGGGGAAAGACGCAAGAGAGAGAAGAAGAAGACAAAATGGTGGGAGGAATGAAATGAGATCAGCAAAAGGACAAATCTTGTTACGCAAAACGAACCTCCGAAAACCGAATCCGATTGATTCACATGTAAATCTCTTAAACAGTCCCCAAACTTTGGGTTCATATTGAAATCAGTCACTAACCTTTGATTTTTAGCAAACCTACGGCTGAAATTTTTATATTTCCATCAAATGTATTTTGTCCAAATTAGCATATTAATCCAAAATCCTCATAAAATCAATAATAAAATATGTCAAATAAATACGAGGGTGAAGGAATTAGATTCTCGTTAATTTGGCATGCATTGAGGCCATGAATTTATTTCGAATTGAGATGGGCAAAAACGATAGTCTGATTTCAACAGTTTGGCTCTAAATTACTACTTTTACTCAATTTGCCTGACCGTAAAATTTGAACATGTCTTTCTTGGACAAATTACCACCAAAGGTAACTATCTCTAAGTCTAAGCAAAACACCACAACATGAAAATCAACAAGCAAATGAAAATTTAAACGAAGTTTTTCCCATGTTCTCAATCTCGCTGAGAGTTACGACTCGACAATGTACAAACGAATATTAACAATAGAGAGACCGAACCTAGGGTAACATATTCGTTCATGATCTATTTAGAGGAACCAAATTCATAGAATAAGGAACCACCTTAGGTACCTCCGAATATGGAAACACATCAGAATCAAACATTCGCTCGTCACCAAACTCCGTCATATGAGCAATGCGGTTCATTCGATCGTTCCCCATGTCGTACAAGAAAACATAGTCCCCCCACCTCTAGTACGAGAACCGCATCTTTCAATGCCAAAGCTTCCACCCCTGGCTCCCGGAGCTGCTGCAACCTCATCTCCTCTTGCAAATTGAGAGAAAACTTAGCATGCTCATTCTCGATATCAGCCAACGACTTTACGTACCTCAATGACGACTCCGATTCCCCGATGCACACAACTGGCCCAAAGCTATCCAACTCGGAAGCTGGAACTAGCGGGGAGATCGCATGAGCCAACTCGGTTTCAGCTGTCATAAATCAGTTGGTCCCAATAACTCGAGTTATTGGGAGAAAGTTATGATGGATTTTATACAGACCCCATGTATGGTACTTAACCACTTCCTTACACGCCCCCTCAAACGAAAACTGACTCATGGGCTTGAAGTTTGCACAGGCCAGCCATACCATATGCTTGAAAGATAACAGTTAATATTGGGGATCGTGTGAACTTGAACACGTGACCTCAATGACAAACCAGCTCTAATACCATGTCATAAACCAGTTGGTCCCAATAACTCGAATTGTTAGGAAATGTTCAATCGTTGATCATATCCCACAAGTCCACAACACTAACACGTCCCCACCTTCCACCTCTTCGTTTTCGACGAGTAAAGATGGATTGAAAGCAAGCACATCATCTTCCTCTCCATCCCACGCCAGCAGCACCTTGAAGTCTGTCGAATCATCAGCGATGTCCCGGGAAGGATGGAAGACCAACGTGATGCCACTCGCTATCTCCCCTTGCTCCAATGGAAATCTAGCTCAACCCATTCTCTGGTTAACGGGTTGCCTGCCTACATGGATGGTCAAGGTATCGCTTGCGTAATGGGTGAGACTCTTGCAGCAAACCAGACCATTGCAGGAAGAGGCTAACACCAAACCCTCTACAACGAGATCGAGAGGGTTTTTAAGAAGCTTTGGTGGAGCATCTTCTTCCCTTCTAGCCGAAGACACGTAACTTGCGTATGAGAGATTGTAGTTACCTTTCAAAATTTCTGCCGGACGAAGAATCCGGATAGCAACTGGTTCCGGCCCCGCGAATGTTTCAGTGCGAAGTCACGGTCGGAGAGGAGGTCGGAGATGAGGCTGCGCCAGAGTTTGGAGACGCGTTTCATCTGAATCAAATCCCTAGTTCCAAACTTCGATAGCACCAAATCGGGGATGTCCCGGTTGAATCGCCTGAGTTTCTCCATTGCCCCGCCGCCCTGAAAAATAAAATTACCAGATTTAGGGCAGAGAGAACGTATAATCAGAGCATTACATTCAAAGGATTAGGGATGAAAAAGGATTTGCCGGTAGTATAGAGCAATGACAACGAAAATTAATCTGGTTCTAAAGAGGGGAACGGAGCTGATTCCGATGACCGGCAACCAGCACGGCTACTGCCGGCGGCTACAATTGGTCAGTAATCAGGAGAAACCAGGAGCGCTGGAAAGGCAGAGGAAGGGGAGAGGAAGAAGAAGCTCACCGGTCTTGCGCCGCCGACCACTGGAAATCCGATCTCCGCGGATTGATTGGTTGAGATTGAGAGTAAAACTGTTGCTGCGGCGCTGATATAGGGAAGCGGAAGGGAGGATCGACGGAAATAAAGGAAGGAGAAGACGAGGAAACGGTTGATGTCATCGGCCACGTTCCTTTTTTCTATATACTTTTTTTGGTGGCAAAACGGGGTTTGAAGGTTGTGAAAATTAATGCAAATGGAGAAAAAAGGAGGACGGGAATAGGGAGAACAAGCTCGCCGTCGAGTTTACGCCGTCGGCCGATGGCGTCCTCCGCTGTTCGATCGCCGAATGCCGGTAAAGTTAAAGAGAGTAAAGCTGCTGCTGGTCTGCCTGACTGTGGAGTGAGGACCGACGCAAGGGAAGATTTTCTTTTATGGGCCATTCACTCTAAAATTTGCTTATTTCCTTGATGGGCCTTTACTACCTCTCTTTGGGCCTTTGGTTCACATTTTATTTAGGCCCATAGGACGTAATAAGCGACAGACAACAAAAAAAAAAAAAAAAAAGAAACGCATGAATTGAATCAGAAGTCAGAACCGACCTTTCTGCTTCAAACTTCCTATCCATCAAATTTTGCATTGTTGAAAAAAAATCCCTAACCGTATCGATTCTTCTTCTTTCTTCTTCACATGGTGTTTGAAAACCCTAATTCCATTTCTCCGCTTCCCTCTGAGTTCGGATGGACTCGGATGAGATTCTAGTCCGCCGCGAGAACCCTAGAGGCCTCTCGTTTTCGACCAAGGCCATGCCCAATGACCACCTGCCGCCACAGAAGTCTCAGCAGCAGCCGACGCCGCCGACGATAATCGATAGGTTCAGGGCATTGATGAAGCAGCGGGCCGAGATTACCGGCAGAGACGATGTCGGTGGAGTCGCTTCGTCGTCCTTGGCCGGGGATGAGGTGGTGCAGCTTTACGAGTTGATGCTCTCCGAATTAACTTTCAACTCAAAGCCTATCATCACTGATTTGACAATCGTCGCCGGGGAGCAGCGGGAGCATGGCGAGGGAATTGCTGACGCTATCTGTGCTCGAATTATCGAGGTCAGTTCGTGTCACGGAGACCTCTTCCCAGTTTCGTTTCTTGTATTAATTCTAGTAGAGCGGGTTTAGGGGGTTCTGGGAAAATGTAGTAGAAGTTGGGTTTCGATTGGTGCAATGTAAGGCTCTTGATTGGCAATTTTCTGCTCTTTAGTGTACACTCTGGCTCTGGCTCTGGCTCTTGCTCTTCTCTCTTATTCGAAACCGTAGGGAAGTAGGATTGCTCGCGTTTAAATAGATGGGTTCCTGAAGTATTCACTCGCTTTTCTAATATATAGCTGATTGTTTCACGAATGTCGGGTTCTGTTGGTAATTGGCACTGCCTCCATCTGAGCTTTCAACATGTTTGAGGCTCGGGCACTCAAAGGACTCTTGCAATTCCGGGATTATAATAGTCTCAACCGTTTGAATATTCTGTTTTAAGAGTTATGAAATGGTGAATCCCCTTGGGTATGAAGGAAAGAAAATGAAATTTCTTCAGTTAGAATGAATAAATAACCAGTACGCATAATGTGGATTCGGCTATTGTGCAACCAATTCAGTTCTTAACATTTGAGATAACGTGACAACGAAAACGCACCACATCTCAAAGACGACCAAGCGTATTTAGCTGTGAAGATATTTGGTTTTACCGTGTTATGCACTATTAAGAGTTTCATCTTGGCAAAATAGCTATATTTCTTACTTATCTATTGCAGGCTCCAGTTGACCAAAAGCTGCCTTCTTTATACCTGCTAGACAGTATTGTGAAGAACATTGGACGTGATTATGTTAGGCACTTCTCTTCCCGATTGCCAGAGGTCAGTTGATTGCATAGTACACTGCTAGCTTTCTCAGGATTTCTGGTGCTGCTCTGACATATGAAACTTGTGATGTTATTTGACAGGTTTTCTGTGAAGCATACAGACAAATACATCCTAGTCTCTATCCTTCCATGCGACATCTTTTTGGGACATGGTCCACTGTGTTTCCTCCTGCTGTTCTTCGCAAGATTGACACCCAGCTGCAGCTTTCCACTCAAGTTAACAATCAATCATCTGGCCTGACATCGTTGAGGGATTCTGAATCCCCCAGACCTGCTCATGGCATACATGTGAATCCAAAGTACTTGCGTCAATTAGAACAATCAACTTCAGAGAGTGTAAGATTTTTTTTATGAAACAATTGTGCGGTTATTTAAATTAGGAACTTGGTTTCCTTGTGGATTATGCTGATTCTGATATTCCCCTTAGTCATAATATTAATGACATTGTATGCTTTTGAAAGGATTACATTGACGCCCCTTCAGGGTCATCTGATAAAAATGGATTGCATATAGAATTAAATGCTGAGAAAGGATTCATCTAACGGTGGCTGTTGAATCATTTAGACAGAGTTAAATAAAATTTCTGCATATAATGCTTTTGATCGTTAGATGATTCTTGGAGGTTCATGTCATGCCCATATCCTTGCAGGTAGGAAACCAAAGAATAAAGACTGCTGGAGGTTCAGCTTCTTCATCTTTCACGCTTGGAGTCAATAAGTTACTCCCGTCTTCAAATTCCAGGGTTTCAAGACCTTTGTCACCTTCAGCTGAGAGGCTATTATCTTCAGAGCTTGATGACTATGGGTCATCGAGTTCTCCTAGAAGACTTGTGCATGGGGCATCTCCATCTCATCGTGTATTTGATTATGAACTTGGGAAAATTGGTGTCAGAAATGAAGAAGCAGATGAGTGGAGAAGAAAACGCTATTCCGATGATAGAGACAGTAGATTCGAAACTTCTGTTGTACATAGAATTAGCAATGGACACGAGCCTCTCGTTGCCAGAGCTCTGATAGATGCATACGGGGATGATAGGAGTCAAAGGAATGCAAGTAATAAACCCTTGCAGCTTGATCGTCTGAATGTTAATGGCGTGGGCAATAAGCTGGCAACAGGATCATGGCAGAATACTGAAGAGGAGGAATTCGACTGGGAAGATATGAGCCCTGCTTTGACCAATCAGAACATAAGTAATAATTTGTTGTCATCATCTGGTATGCCTGTGATTGGGAAGTCTAGAGAATCATTGAATTTTCCTCGTCACTTACCTCGGTCAACACATCTTCTGAATTCTCGGGAAAATTTGGCTCTTGTGGCTGATAAATTCCCAGATACTGAATCCCAGCTTATCCATCGTCCGTATGTCTCTTCAATAATGGAATCTGCTGTTGATACCAATGCCTCTGGAACTTGGTCTGACAATTTGCCTTCACATCCATCTGTGCAGCCAAGCCTTCCACCACAGAGGCAGAGCAGCAATGCTACCAACTCAGAGATACAGTATAATAGTTTAGAGAGCAGAGGGCTCAGTTTACTGAAACAACGTCTGGTACCTAATCAAAGCAATGCTTTGAATAGGCAGAAGTTGAATCCTTTTGCACCTCAGTTTCTGCCACCTCATGAAGCTCGTGAGAATTTCGACCATTCTTCTTTGGGTTCAATGCCACGGCATATGCCTCCATCAAATCATGGGTACCCCATGCAGCGACATGGAGGTGGGATTAACATGGGCCCTCCTATTTCAATGCATCCAGTCAACAATACTTTGAATAACTTGCATTCACAGATAGGTGCAAGACCACCTCTACCTCCTGGTCCTCCTCCTGCCTCTCAAATGATGCTCAACCACCAGCATGGTGGTCCGTTTATTCCGAACCAGCCTCCAGGGGTTGCATTTTCTGGTTTGATGAATTCTCTCATGGCTCAAGGTGTGATCTCATTGACAAACCAGACAACTAAGCAGGTATGGAATTACCCATTTTTCGTTTCTAGGATATGAGAGGAGATTCTCTCTGGCCCCAATAGATTCAACAATTGCCACCCGTTGGTGCCTCTATTATACCACTTCTTAATCAAATACATACTCTTAACTTCTACTTCCACAATCTAATTCTGATGTGGACAACATTTTACCTTATGTTTTACAGCATTTCAATTCTACCACTTTCTGTTCTGTATACGACGAAAGCAGAGCCTTTGTGCCCCTGTCTTAATGATTCTCCTTCATCTGTAGGAGTCACTGGGACTTGAATTTGATGCTGATCTTCTCAAGGTACGTCATGAGTCGGCAATAAGAGCCTTGTATGCTGATCTCCCTAGACAGTGCATGACTTGTGGACATCGCTTCAAGTCCCAAGAAGAGCACAGCGCTCACATGGATTGGCATGTTACTAGGAACCGCATGTCTAAAAACCGAAAGCAGAACCCTTCTCGCAAGTGGTTTGTTAGTGCAAGTATGTGGCTCACTGGTGCTGAGGCCTTAGGAACTGATGTTGTGCCCATTTTTTTGCCTCCCGAGAATGTTGTTGAGAAGAACGACGAGGAAGAGTTGTCCGTCCCTGCTGATGAGGATCAGAATGCATGTGCATTATGTGGAGAGCCATTTGATGATTTCTTTAGTGATGAAACCGAGGAATGGATGTATAAAGGTGCTGTGTATTTAAATGCGCCTCCCCAGGGGTGGACACCAGGCATGGATATATCACAGTTAGGTCCTATAGTACATGCCAAATGCAGGCCGGAGTCTAGTGGAGTAATGCCCACTAGAGACTCAAGGCAGGATAATGAGGTAAGAATCTGTTTAGAATTTTTGAATATCTTTGCTGTTCTGATAGATTATTTAGATTCGAGGTATCCGTTCTATTAGGTTGAGTGATGATATAACATCTGGCATATTTGGCCTTTTTTTCCTTTTCTCTGTTGCTATTAGCTGAAATATGTGTGACTGTTTCTCAACGTGCAGGTCAATGTAGAAGAGGGTAGTCAAAGGAAACGACTGCGGAGTTAAAATTTGTGTTAGACCAGGCTTCACAGTCCTTTTATAACTTTTAATTTCATGATGTTAGTGGTATGCTCTTTGCTTAATTTTACAGGAGTTTCCATGCCCATGGCTGTAATCTGTGTACATGTATAGTTGGAGTTGTATCTGGCATGCTAATTTTGCAGGGGGGCAAATTCATATTTGCCAGCTCTCTTTTTTGCTTATCAGATCATCTAGGGAGAGGAATCCATTAGCAGATATGCTTGCCTTCACATCCATTAGCAGACAAAGGTCCTTCAGAATCTACTCTTCCCTTGTTTTCCACATTGAGCAGGGCAGGCATTTCTGCTCATCTATGAAATGTAAGTCTTACAAAACGAGCCTAGGAACTTAGAGAACTGAAGCATGATAGAAACCGGTGATATCTAGGGATGGCAATGGGGCGGGTTTGGGGCGGATTTGCCTAAACCATCCCCATCCCCATCTCCCAATCCCCAAACCCATACCCACCCCATACCCATGCGGGGGGAGGTTTTTGATACCCATCCCCATACCCGCGGGTTTCGGATACCCATGGGTAATACCCATCCCGTGTAAACAATATTTCTACACCTAAAATTCAATATAAATTCTTCAAATATAACACCTAATGGAACACATAAATGATAAAATTCAACATACACTTCAAATATACCCCATTCTTAATACAAAAAAAAAACATCCAATTCTTCTTGGCTACGATTAACTTTGTGCAATTTGCCTCAACAAGAACTGGCATTCATAAAATAAAATGAAAACAAGAACAAGGGGCACAATGGGCATAAACAAGTTGCAATTAGAGGGTTTTGAAACACAGGTTTGAATCTACCATTTCTAAATCATAATGATTTAAATAAGAAGGAAGAGATAGGTCATCGAGTTTCCTGTATTCTACAACAGCATTCACAAATTGCTCTCTGGCAGCATTGTACAATTGGAAAACAACCTCCGAGGAAATGCCCAGTTTGTGATTCGAATCCAGAAGTTTCCATCTCTACCATTAAGCGCATCTGATACTTCCAAATGTGAGCTGCCAGCTTCCAAATTCGAGGTTTCCATCTCCGAATGAAGAAAATGGCGTGTCTGTGGTGGATCCAAAGGAAGAAGAAGGGACTGCCGCTGCGGCATGAGGGAGGGAAAGGGAGAGTGGTTGTCGGCGGGTTAATGGGTGATGAGTTGAAGAAAGCCGAAGTTTAGAATTAGGTTTTGCTAAGCATAATTACAGTTTAGTCATCTATTTTGTTTATAATTTACCCTTCCTTCCATTAATAATTTACAAATTGATCCTTATATTTTTTGCACTTAACAAACAAGCTTCACGGGGCGGGTTTGGGTATGGGTATGGGGCGGGGTGACCTAAAACCAAACCCGCCCCATCCCCATCAAATTCTTTGCGGGTTTTACCCATACCCGCCCCATACCCAGTCAATGCGGGTATTCCCCGCGTTGACTGGGTCGGGGGCGGTCGGATACCCGCGGTGGTGGGTATGATTGCCATCCCTAGTGATATCCTGTACTTATCAGGTTTCATTTTTTTTCCAGTTGCTTTTGTTATAACTTGAACACCCTTCTCTCGCATGAGCTTGTCGATGGCTTACCAATTGTTTCATGTCGTTTATACTCAGATCTCTCCTTAAATTAGCAAAGCTTTGCAGTTCATCTGAATCTATATATGTTTCTCTTTGTGAACTCTGTAGTTCAGTTGAATCTTGTTTCCTCTAGTAATTTTATAAATGAATTTGGATGGTTAGTAGTTGGAGTGTTGAAATGAATGATGCTGTGTTCTAATCTGCTTCCTTTTAACCAATCGTAATGTTTGGCTTTAGCTATGCTATCCTATCCCTGGTTCGGATGAAACTGTTACAGTTGTAGAGAATACTATACCACACATACTTCTCCATCCATCTCCATGGACCCACACTCGAGTCTCGCTGTCTCGACATCTATTACATTCTCAATGACATCTCCAGTTTTTACTCTACTGTAGTTGCATTTGCTTATCTATGTACATAGACTACAGCTATGATGTTCTTCTGCCAAACTATACCTTATTGGTTTTCAGTGTTCACATCTAGCCCTGTCTGGCTTTCCTTAACTGATCGGGTAGTTAAAAACCGTTTCTGTATCTTTTTCTCCTCGTCCGCTGCAACTTATGATGATTTTGGCTCCGTCGGGCATAGTAGGGCACAGTTTCTCCAGGTATGCAAATGCATGAGAAGCCTCCAGTGCTGGGAGTATGCCTTCTAATCTAGCCACCCTTCTGTATGCTGCAATTCCCGAGCCTCCAACATCAGTATGGAAATCAAAGCATTAAACTGTTTTCGATTTAGCATTTACGGTTTAGGGTTTAGCACGAGCAAATGCTCGTGCGTCGTGTCATAACCTTCGACAGCCTCTTCGTCTGAAGCTGAGTAGAACTCCATTCTTCCGGTCTCCTTCAGAAAGCTCAACTCCGGTGCCACCCCAGGATACTCCATCCTGCACAATTATCAACATAATTAAGTAAATTAATTAACACGAGAATTAAACTAAACACAGTGATTTGTTGATTACTAAGTTACTAACCCAACGCCGACGGAGTGCGGACAGGTAATCTGCCCTTCCTCATCCTGCAACAAGTAGCTCATCGCGCCGTGATAAACCCCAACTTCACCGGCGGCCAGCGTCGCCGCGTGTTTCCCGGTGTTCAGTCCAAACCCCGCCGCCTCCACTCCGATCAGCCTCACCGTCGGATCCCGCACAAATTCGTGGAAAATCCCCAGCGCATTCGAGCCGCTCCCGACGCAGGCAACCACCGCGTCGGGAGTCCCGCCCCATTTCTCCGCCGCCTGCCGCCGCGTCTCCCTCCCGATCACCGACTGAAACTCCCGAACCATCGTCGGGCAAGGGTGGGGGCCAACCGCCGTGCCAGCCAAGTAGTAAACTTCCCCCAATTTTTCCGTCCAATCCCTGATTGAATCCGAGGTGGCGTCCTTGAAGCTTCCCGCCGTCGGCCTGACCTTCGCGCCGAGGAGGTTCATGAGGTCTACGCTCGACGGCTGTTTCTCCATGTCGGCGGTGCCCATGAAGATTGTGCAGCTGAGTCCGAACTTCGCACAGGCGGCGGCCGTCGCGATTCCGTGCTGTCCCGCACCGGTCGCCGCTATGACGGCGGTGAGGCCCATCCGTTTGGCGATGATTGCCTGGGCCAGTGCGTTGTTCATCTTGTGGGCCCCGAGGTGGGCCAGGTCCTCGCGCTTGATGTAGATGTCTGGACCTCGGCCCATGTTTTGGGCCTTGTAGTGGGCCGTGAGGCGCTCCGCGTAGTAGAGCGGGGTTTCCCTGCCTACGTAGTCCTTTAGTGCCGTCGTTAGCTCCTCCTTCACCAAAAACAGAAGATTTCTTAGCATGATATAATAGTAGTATGGTTTTTGAAATGTAGATTTTTCGGGTTAAATTTTGTTCTTAAATCATATTAAATAAATATATATATATATAGTGTTGTCTTCATTGTAGTCATTTTTTTCTCCATATAATTGTCTATTTGTCTTCATTCAATGCACTTCGTGTCATTTTTTTCCATTCAATATACTTGCCTCATAATTATCATTTTCAGCAAATGATTCATATCAAAATAATGTCAATCATATTCTGTGATAGGATAAACAAAAAAATACATAAATTTAAACAAGCCTCATTCAAAATTTACTTTGATTTGAAGGTTGTAGAGATTAGCAATTTATGGTGCACCAAAGAGAAACAATAGATAAACTCTTTAACCTAAACAAATACCTGAAATTCAGGATCTTGCAGAACTTGATGAAACACGACTTCAAGCTCTTCCAGAGCGGAAATGAGGGTCTCGGCGACGAACTTGCCACCAAACCTACCGAACTTCCCCGTCGACGGAGACTTGGTGTCGACGACCCATGCTACTCTTTCCTTGGGTGAGTCTATCGCCGGAGTTCCATACTTGTTAAGCCGCAGGACGGAGGGATTAACAGTTGATTTGCTTGTCATGACGTGGCGGTTGCCGCCGATCACCGCATGATTAGGGCAAACCACTTGTGGATAATTGTGACGATGACCAGCTGTGGTCTTGAAATGGAAGAGACTAGTCATGATGGTAAAGGTAAATTTGGGCTTTTGCCGGAGGGAATCATTGGGTAGAAGGCATGATGAAGAGATGAAGAAGGGCCTTTAATTTTTGGGAAGTGAAGTAGTGGATTGGTATGCAATGCATCCCATAATATATATAATTATATAGCAAAAGGTAGCGTGCATCTGTAATATATGCTTGCATTTATACATAGTAGATGTAATTTGATATACTTTGACGAATCATAATTATAGATTTTTATTTTTTATTAAAATGATTTTATATGATTTTGGTTTAGAGAATTAGAGACCTGAGGTTGATCTATGAGAGATTATAGTACTATAATAATATCATATGCCCAAACTCTTGTTGTTTTATGACCTAAATAGCAAAAGTCGCTAATCGTAAAATAAAATTAGTCGTACATCAGATGAATGCTACCCTAAACCATATATGCATGTAGAGTGGTCTTCGAGTAGCCAGGCTAGTTTATGTCTCCATCAATTCAGCCAAATTTTAGGCAGACGAAATTGAGGAGGAAAAGGATGAATTGGCTCCCTATTTTCTCATCTCCATTTGCATGTTCTGGTGTTCAAACCGGTGAATACAAGGCATGTGGTTCTTCGACTATGAATGCATTTGCGTTCCATGATTATATTGAGATAATCCATTAACGCTAAAAATAAGTTCTCTTGTAAAAAAAAAAAAAAACTAATACAAAACACAAGGCCACATCCAGCCCTCAAGTGTAAGTGTGTAACCAACCTTCTCTTTTTTTTTTGGTAGAAAAGTGTAATAACCTAATTAGAGAATTAGTTAATTATACAATGGACCTCCACTTCTAATAGCGGGCAAGGAGGTACAGTAATAATGGTTAGAAAGGCATACGATCAAAATTCAAAAGTGTGTAATATTACTTTTTCCAATTTACGATTTAGTGTTTAGGATCATAGGATGGGACGATGGTCTTGTCTTACTTTCGTATAGATTCTTTTTATTTCTATATGATCATCAAGTGTAGAGAATTTTTTTTATAAGAGTGCTATAGATTTATTTTTTGGATTTTAGATACTATTTAAAATATTCGAATTTGAGATCTTCAGATTCAAAACTAGTGATATTATTACTAGATCAATCACTTGTTCGTGCAATTGCAGAGAATCTTACATTACTTTTTCCTCTCCATCCATCACCAACGGACCAACTCGTATTCCGTCTTGACATCTTTTACAATCTCATATTCAGATTTCAATTACCCTAATTATTAACTTTTGATTCCAGACACACACGATACGACGAATATGTGCAGAGATCAAGTGTTTGTTTCGATTTAGATTTGTATATATATAGCAAACTTCACACCTCTCGACGATTGCAGAGATCGTGTGACTTATATCGGTGTAACTCTCACAGTTTAATCAGGATGAAAACATGTATATCGAGAGACCTAGTTGTAGCGTTTACTATTTCTCTACCTGCATCGCAAAACGCAACTTTAAACACTCCGTTTTCTACCCAAAAAAAAAAAGAAACAATGGCTACTCATTTCCCTTCCCCTTCCACCTACAAATAGCCCATGCCTGAAAAACTCGAGTACTGTAGGAAACCTATTTTTAGGGTTCCCACGATTGTGTTGGGAAATTGGGAATTGGTAGAGATTTAGGGATTTAGAAGAGAATTAGGGAATTAAGAACAGAATTGGGGAAGATCAGAAAGAATGGCCGAAGCCTCTAGAGAGAAGGATAGACGAGATTTGAGAGAGCAAGAGATTAGGGTTTTGGGGAAAGAGGACTTTTCTTATTAATTTCTGCTTAATCTGACGAATGACCCAAAGTACATATATATAGGGAAATACTAGAAAACCCTAAGAATAAACCTAATTCTACTAGAAGACTACTAACCATAATAAGAATTATCCTAATAATGATTATAATAATAATATAGAAAAATCGTGTTTCCCACATCTCCTCCCCCTTCAGACCAACCTTGCCCTCAAGGTTGACTGACTTGACCCATTTCTTCCAATCTTCTCGCCCAATCCAATCATCGCTTCTCCGCTGCTTGCGCTTCCTTTTCTTCCAATTGTGTTCCACCACTTGAATGAATCCCATATCAGCGACTCCGACTCCAATGGCCTCTTCCCAGTCCACGTGACGGAAGTTGCAACCATGATCAAATATCCCTCCATCATCCTTTTCAAACTCCACAATATAAGAATCTTTGAGCCCATCCTCTAAGCCCATGAATTCCTCTTCTATTTCTTCCAAATCCAATCTCTTGGGCAGATAACCCATAAGAGGTCCAAGTTGGGTCCAAACTAGCGGACTCATTTGTGGCCCATAAAAGGGCATTTTCAGCCCAAATCGTGCTCTGCTTTGCTGATCCAGTTGGCCCACATTAAGTCCAAACTTTGGCCCCACTATCTTAATCTCACTTCCCAACTTGTGGCCCAAACTACAGTAGCATTCCCCCACCCATCCGCCCGTTTCTCTTGGCCCAGGAGACATCTTAGCCCGACCCATTTGGCCCAACCAAGCTTGGCCTGGTTCTCCTTTGCTGGTCAAGCTAGGGTTTGTGAGAGGCAGCCTGCCGCCGCCCCTCTTCCTCACTTCCTCCTCCGGCCACGAACGAAACACTGGCTGGACGGCTGTCACGCCTGGAGCAACCACACACGGCGTCTGCAAATCCTTTTTCCCGGCAGCCAACGTCTTCACCGCCGATTCCTCCTCCCTCCCGGTCGCCAACGCAAAGAACTCCGCCGCCACAGGTCGGATCGGCAGCTGCTGCTCCTCTGTCACGTCTCCATCCATAGCCTCCTCATCCATCACCGGTTCCGTGTCGCTCCCTTCGACGGTGACTTCCACCGCTTCGTCGGCCTCGACGGACGTTGATGGTCGCTCGCCGTCGGTGACTCGGGTCACCGTCTCTGCTTGCACGGTCGGCGACTCTTCGGAGCTCCAACGGCGTCCGATGCGGCGAGCCCGGTCACGCAGCTCTGCCCACGACAGGTTCGAGAGCTTTGAAGAGCTCATCATCAAACCAGTTGTAGAACTCGTCCCCGGTTGAGAGTTGTGGTGAACTCAATTCTCGAACCGGGCTCTGATACCAGATGTAGGAAACCTATTTTTAGGGTTCCCACGATTGTGTTGGGAAATTGGGAATTGGTAGAGATTTAGGGATTTAGAAGAGAATTAGGGAATTAAGAACAGAATTGGGGAAGATCAGAAAGAATGGCCGAAGCCTCTAGAGAGAAGGATAGACGAGATTTGAGAGAGCAAGAGATTAGGGTTTTGGGGAAAGAGGACTTTTCTTATTAATTTCTGCTTAATCTGACGAATGACCCAAAGTACATATATAGGGAAATACTAGAAAACCCTAAGAATAAACCTAATTCTACTAGAAGACTACTAACCATAATAAGAATTATCCTAATAATAATTATAATAATAATATAGAAAAATCGTGTTTCCCACAAGTACCGCCCGACAAGATTTCGTCAAGTTGGCAATGTCTTGTAAAGCTCCTCCCTCCATCGTCCATGTTGCCAGTATGGCAGGTGGCAGCTAGCTACGTAGCAGCACAGAAGAAGAATTAAGAGGATAAGCCTGTCGATATCAAATTATCAATGCATGGTTGGAAAGAAAACGTGCGCATTTTCGATAAAAAAATCTCGTAAAAATCCTCCCCTTTAAAGCACCTTGTCCCTTAAAAGTCTGCACTTTCGATACCTCCAATACGTGCATCTAATTAAATCCTCCACGTGATGTTTACAATGAATTCCCTTCGACAACCTCATCTATTTCTCTTCTTCTGAGTCGTATGTGATGTGATATTCGATTTGCTCTCCTTAATGGCAAGATTCTTTTTTCTATACTATACGATCTCTTGTTTAAAAATCGAAGCGTCGCAATTGTACAGAATATTACGCTACTCCCCATGCATCCATCACCACAAAAGACCAACTCGAGTCTTGATCACATCTTTAATTTACATCCTCAGTCACATCTCTAGTTTTAACCAATCGTACGTATAGTCGCATACTTGCATTTGCTTTATCATATTTACATTGCATTACAACTGTCCAGCTTCCCTTAAAGACTCAGGTACTTAGAAACCGTGGTTGCATCTTTATCACCTCGGCCACTACAACTCACGACGATTTTGGCGCCGTCGGGCAAAGTAGGGCACAGTTTCTCCAGATATGCAAACCCATGAGAAGCCTCCAGTGCCGGGATTATGCCTTCTAATCTCGCCACCCTTATGTACGCTGCAATTCGGGAAGCCCCAGATTGTCAAAATTCATATGTGTTCAGTTTAGAGTTCAGCGTTTAGGACAAGACATCGTATCTTACCATCGACAGCCTCTTTGTCTGTTGCTGAGTAGAACTCCATTCGTCCCGACTCCTTAAGAAAGCTCAACTCTGGTGCAACTCCTGGATATTCCAATCTGCACGGTATTTAATATAAAGATATCAAGTAATCAGCTAATCAACGCGACAAATAAACGACACTCATTGGCTTGTTTATAAGCACTTGTCGACCAACATTTTTTTTTTCCTTCTTCTACTTTTCGTCTAGTGACCTAACCTACAAAAGTCTTGGATAATTTTTTTTTTTTATAATGCTTGCATAATTATTTTTGTTGGTTACTAACCCAACACCGATAGAGTGCGGGCAGATAATGTTCCCTTCCTCATCCTGCAACAAGTAGCTCATCGCGCCGTGATAAACCCCTACTTCGCCGGCGGCCAGAGTCGCCGCGTGTCTCCCGCTGTTCAGCCCAAACCCGGCCGCCTCCACACCGATCAACCTCACCGTCCGATCACCCACGAATTCATGGAAAATCCCCAACGCATTCGAGCCGCTTCCGACGCATGCCACCACCGCGTCGGGCGTCCGGCCCCACTTCTCCGCCGCCTGCCGCCGCGTCTCCCTCCCGATCACCGACTGAAACTCCCGAACCATCGTCGGGCAAGGGTGGGGGCCCACCGCCGCTCCGGCCAGGTAATAGACTTCCCCCAATTTTCCCGCCCAAACCCTAATCGACTCCGAGCTGGCGTCCTTGAAATTCCCCGCCGTCGGCTCGACCTTCGCGCCGAGGAGGGTCATGAGGTCGACGTTCGACGGCTGTTTCTCCATGT